TACCTACCTACCTACCTACCTACCTACCTACCTACCTACCTACCTACTTACCATCTTCTGTGTCCAGAACATCTCTCTTTAAAAAGAGAAAATATGATGTTTAAAATTAATATAATAATCTAAATAAAGAAAACTTTCAGTAACTATATAAATAAAGAATATAAAAATTAAAACATAGAAGGAATTTAAAGCAGGTATGTGTCATTATATAGAATTTGTGGCCCAGAAAGTAGGTCTGAATAGCTTTATCATTGCCAGGAGCAAATTGTCCATTGTACATGCTCCATCGAGATTCTGGCATGTCAATAAATGTTCATATTATATAAATTAGGCCTCTAAGGGTACCTTTAGGGCAAGGGTCTTCAAACTTGGCAAGTTAAAGGCTTGTGGACTTCAACTCCCAGACTTCCTGAGCTAACATGACTGGAGGAAGAATTCTGGGAGTTGAAGTCCACAAGTCTTAAAGCTGTCAAATTTGGAGACCCCTGCTTTAGGGTATAGGAAGAACTTACAGGAAGATTGCTTAATGAGCTGGGAGCAGAAAGCAGTTAGACCAGCCACAGAAAGGAAAAAATCTTATCTAAAGGGAAAAAAATACTCAGGTTCTTTCCTTTCTTCTGGTAACTTTTTGAATGTTTTGAACCAAGCCACGGTGATGGGGTCCCTCACCATTCCTGCAATCAAGTCCCACCATTAAAAGAAAGGCTGGGGGGCAGATACCAAGCCCCCAAGCACAAATGAGGACATCTGTCATGTCAAAGCTCAACATACATAGCTCCCTGCCTTCTGGTTAAATGCCATTGAATGTGGATGATTTTAAATGGAAATGAAAAGACTGCTGTGCTTAAAAATGCAAGCACCCCATTGTACAATAGCAAAGGTAGGGACTGGGAAAGGATCAAGCCAGTCAAACAGGCTATTCCCTCCCCAGATCAAAAAAAAAGTAATAACACATTTCTCATGTATGCATGGCATGCAAACTAATGAAACATAGATTGGGACACAAACAATCCAGGCCATGTAAATGCAATAATCATAAAGTGACATGCTAATTTAGAAATATTGATTAATAAGCAAACTAGACTTTCCCAGGCAGGCACAAGGAATGGCAATCAGCAGGTAGGAAGCAACATTCCTATTCAGAGAAACCCATAATGTCCATCATTGCCCCACCTTCCACCTCCTCCTCCCACCTCCCCAAAGGCCATCAAGAGAACAGTCCAAATATTTATTGACTCAGGAAGGCAGGAGGAGAAAAATACAGAATTTAAACCTCTGAGCACACTTATTTAAAGGGCTTTGATTGCCAATATTCCTGCAGTGGACACATTTGGATATATTACATAATTCCATCCATAGGAGCTACAATAGGCACCAAAACTGGACAAGGTTGAAGTAAAGACAAATTATCCATCTACTGCAACCAATCAGGAACCCTCGCCATTAAATTCCCATCAGGAGCTGTCCATGAAACCAAAATCTTATGCAGGTGACAAAAATTAGAGCACAATCCTAGGCATTAGGATTAAAAAATGCAATATTTTCTTTTCTGGGACCTCCTCCTAAATAAGGATAGTTGTGAACTTCAGCCTGAGTCGCTGTGCCTCAACATTAATAAAATCTTGGAAGCAGATCAAAATTGCTTCATAGCTTACACCTTCCAGTAACCTCAGCAAAAGTGAGACTATTTTGATTGATAAATCAAGGATAGGTTTCCTGTCCACTCATGTTCAGTTATCACAGACTCTCTGGACAGGTTTTTTTTTAGAAGCGGTTTGCCATTGCCTCCCTCTAAGGGCTAAGAGAAAGTGATTGGCCCAAGGTCACCCAGCTGGCTTTGTGCATAAAGCAGGACTAGAACTCACACTTTCCCAGTTTCTAGCCTGATACCATTACATCAAACTTCCTCTCAAGGAAAAGCTTACAATAGTCCTAATTTGCAAACCAATTCTGGTACACAGTATTAAGATCGATCAATCTCTCTCCCTCCCTCCCTCCACTCCCTCTCTCTTTTAAATGCAACTGTTCTTTCTGTCCCACCCACCTATCCCTTATTTTGGGATGATCAGCAATCCATTTCTTTTTCTTTCTTCAATAGGCAGTATCTAAAACTAACATACTCACTCTTGCGTCCTGAGCTCATGCTCGATTCCAGAAGTTTGAGCTTCATAATCACTTTCTCCCGGTGAGTCTTACGCTCTAAAATATAGCTAAGCAGCATGCATGAATATTGAGTTGCTCTGGAAAGGGAAGGAAAGAGAGGCGCATCGCTGGTCACACATCAACAAGCAAAAACACAGGCTGTGTCTACACACAACGAAACAGAGATTATATAAATATGAGTGCAGGTCCCTCCCCATGCAAAAGATGCTACAGGGCTGTTTTGCTCTAAGGCAAATGCTCTAATATATAGTTTTGCACACAGTAACATTGCTCAATCAGCAGAGACATTGCAAGTGGTGCATGAGAATCTATTACGCTCAATTATTCTGGAAAAACATGGTTATTTCCAAAAGCATTTGCTGGCAAAAAACCAAAACCAAAAATATTTGTCTCCTTCCAAACATCTTGCCAGCACTGGCTATCAGGAGATCAGTTGTGAAGCAACCATTACTCCCAATGGGATAACACTTTGAATCCTACCCAAAAGGTATCATAAATGGGATGGAATGAATCAACAAACAGCCAATTCCTTGCATCTATAGAGTACCCGTGATGATAGATCACAATAGTATTTTTTTATACGTGCCTTTTTCCTCCTACCTGTCCTGAACACCCATGGAACTGAACCTGGGAGCTTCCCACCACCTTTTCCTGCATTACATATCAAGCAGCAGCTTGGTTTAACCAGCCAACAGTTCTAGTAGGACTTTTGATATTGGGGTTCAGTTTTATTTACAGCTGTGGAAGAACTGATTCCATTGAACCTAGCGCTAACATCCAGTCCGATGTATTGCACAGATGGTTGCACTGTTGCAAAGATACAATTGGGGGAGAGATTGCTACCCACACATTGCCTCGAGGGGATGAAGGTGAGGCAAGTTGTGAAGCTGCCAAACAAATCTCTTGGATCACCCAGCACATAGTTCAAGTTTGAAAGCAGCATGCGATGCTGAAAGATAAGTTTACATAACACCAGCAAATAACAACACAAAGCAAGTAAGGTTGAGACAATGGTGGTTAAGGCAGGCATTGGCAACTCTTTGGCATGGATATTTTTCCCTCCTCTCTCAACAACCTTGGGGGAAAGAGATGGGGAAAAATTACTAAGTAGAGGTATATGTGGTATGAGAATTATATAGGTGTTCCTAATTCTCACACCTATATAAGGCAGTAAGATCATCATGTTCACATTCTTTGTTTTACTCAAAAGCCTTCCCCTATTAAATTATGGGGAAAGTCTGTTTCTCCTACCAGATTTTCTTTTACATGCTCTTATTTATATTTTGTGGGATGATGCAGGGATCATTTTCCACTTTGGGATCTGGTTTCCATCCTATTTGTTGGACATCTTCAATCTTCCACCACCCTCTCCAAAAGCTTCCTTGGCTGGGAATCCAGGGAATTGTAGCCCCAACATATCTGGAGAACAACCAGCTAAATATACCAGAATTGGGAATTTTGGCCTGTCTGGGGATGTAGTTTACGGTTGTGTACAATCCACAAGAGAACAGTGCTCCAGGATATCATGCTCGCCACATGACCACGGAAATGTCTTTGGACAGCGTGGGCACAACGGCCTTAGAGATGAGCACCATGCCCTGTAGCTGAGTTAAAAGGGGCTTCTTTACCTTTACAATCCACAAGACAAGGCAACTCTGAGCCCCCCCGCAGCACCTATTAAATCTCAGCAATTCTCCACTCTCTTTCATTGCTGACACTGCATTATTTTTATGTGTAATTTCCATATGGGAGTGGAGCCATGCTTGCAAATCACTCAGAAAAAGAAGTAAAGCGCTATGAAGAAATACATCAAATATAAATTAAGGAAATCAGATCTACTGATGCCTCTGTTGAAGCAAGCCTCAATGCAAGTATTCCTACAATTCCTTCAAGTTATCAGATTTGTGATTGCCGTCACACAATGGCCAAAAATGACTAATGTGAGCCTTAACGTTGTGCAAACTCAATATGCAGCACCAGGGAACAGGTTGCTTCAGGAAGCAGATGACCAGGTTATGCAAAGATACCTACAGCCTACATTCACACATCCTGATTCATCAGGTCTCATGAAGCCCAAGGAGGTACAGGAATACACTACCTTATGCCTGATTGGTTGGTTTTTTTTCCTGTGGCTTTCAACTAATATCCAGAACCCATGAGTCCTTTGGACTTGAAATTTGCTAATTTTTATAAAACATGGTAAAAATGATCACAAAAGCCTCTTGTGAAGTAATATAAAACGTCGTAAAACATTTCCTGAGATCCACTGCTGAAGTTTGACTGCTTATACAGCTCCATCATTTGCTTAATATCTCTCAGAACCTCTAAAAACTTTTCCAGGGAAGGCGCTGAAAGATCTAATAAGGTCAACCTACTCCCCCACAACACCTGAGGGCAGGACAAGAAGTACTTAGGTGGAAGATCATTAAAGACAGGCTCAACCTAGAACTAAGGAGACATTTCCTGACAGTGATAACAATTCATCAGTGGAACGGCTTCTCCCCAGAAGTTGTGGATACTCCATCACTGCAGTCCAAAAAGTGCTTTTCCCCCCACCCCCAAGAAACAACTGGACTTTCTGGGTTTTTTTTGAAGATGTTTCACTTCTCATCCAAGAAGCTTCTTCAGCTCTGACTGGTTGGTGGGGAATGGAATCCAGTCAGAGCTGAAGAAGCTTCTTGGATGAGAAGCGAAACGTTTTCAAAAAGAAAAATCAGAAAGTCCAGTTGCTTCTTGGGGGGAAAAAAAAAGCACCTTTGGGACAGCCATGACCTGGATGACTGAGAATCTCCAGACATCCATCTGAAGCTCTTTTTGAAGCTTTCACAAAGAGACTGGACAGCTACTTGCCTGCAATGATATAGGGCAAGGGTCTCCAAACTTGACAGCTTTAAGACTTGTGGACTTCAACTTCCAGAATTCCTCCTCCAGTCATGTTAGCTCAGGGATTCTGGGAGTTGAAGTCTACAAGTCTTAAAGCTGCCAAGTTTAAAGACCCCTGGTCTAGGGTCTCCTGCTCGAGCAAGGGGGCTGGGCTAGAAGACCTGTAATATCCCTCCCATCTCATTGATTCTATGTCCTATCTTAAACAGGAGTTGAAGTGGGGAGGGACGTGGGAACCCAACCAGAAGGCGTGACTAAGGAGTGCCCTGGCCCAAGGGGGTGGGGGTGGGGGCTCTGCAAGCTCCTTTCAAAGGAAGGGGGCCCCGCCACCTCCTTATTCTCCGCTCTTGCGCTGCTTTCCTCACCGAAACAGTCGCTCCCGACCCTGCGTCTGGTTGGTGAAGTGCACAAAAGCCTCCATGCCACCTGCAAGCCCCACTGGACCGCTGCAAACTCTGGACTAGAATCAGCTGTTTCTCTGGGGGACGGAGGGAGGGGGGCGGGGCTGAACCTTGGCCACGCCCCCGCGTTCCATGCCCTGGACTCCCCTTTTCCTTCCTTCCCTTCTTCCTTCCGCCCGGGGGGTTGCCATAACAACGCGTCAACTTCCGGAGACAGGTGTGCGTTGTTTGGGGGTGGATGGGAAGAGACAGGTGTGTGCGCGGAGGCAGCCGAAAGCCAGGAAGAGCTTTGATTTGGGTTCCTCTGCCTGCCTGGGTGAATCATTTTTGGAGAACTTCTTTCCCAGTTTCTCGGGGGAACTGCAGCACCCATCATCCCCAGCTTTGCAGTTCGGCTTTGCAGTTCGGCGCCTCTAAAAGCCCCCAGGTGGTCACCTAGTCCTAGATGGTGCCAAAGCGCAAGATTTCTGGTTGAGGTTGAGCTTTTGGAATGCCCTGGAATCTGTTTTGTTTTGGTTTGGTTTTGTTCGTTTCTGTTCTGTTCTGTTTCGTTTGTGTTTCGTATTGTTTGTTTTTTATTTGTTTTTGTTTGTTTGTTTCTCTTGTTGGTTTTGGTTCATTTCTGCTTTGGTTGCTTTTGTTTTGTTTGTGTTTTGCTTCGTTTGTTTCTCTTTTGTTTCTGGGTCTGCCTGGCTCATACTTAGGGGACTTTTGGATAGTATACAAAAAGTTCCCCCAAGAGAAAAGCAAAATGGTCAGTCAGTTATTGCAAAACAGTGTTATGCTACGTGGAGAGCTGGCAAGAGTATTGTGCAGGATTGCAGTAAAATAATAAATCTGTTGTATAGAGGGCCTGTTGGGTGCCATGTTAAGGCACCTGGTTAGAAACCAGAACATTGTGAGTTCTAGTCCCACCTTAGGTATGAAAGCCAGCTGGGTTACTTTAGACCAGCCATTCTCTCCTCAGAGGATTCTTGTTGTGGGGAAAATAGGAGAAAAGAGTATTATGTATATTTGGTGCTTTGGGTTATTTATGAAAAATAAAAGTAGGTTTAAAAAAAAACCTTTAAAAAAAACCTCGAGGATGATCTTTGTTTCTCTCTTTTTCAAAACCAAATTCTATCCACCCTGATTAATAATTGGATTGAACTTTATTGCAGAACTCAGTTGAGCCAAGTGCAGGGCAAGAACGCTGAAGAGAAAAAATGCCTTTCTATCTTCGGAAGCAGCACTTTGATATTCCTCCACCGACTGAAAAAGACTGGCTTAAAAAAGACGAAGAAGAAAATTTCTTCCTCAATGACCCTGACCAACTCCTAGACTCCTTGCCTCAGCCTTTCTGCATGATCAATAAAATATTGAAAGACTTATTTGAAAGAGCCTGGGATCGAATTGAAGAAAGGCGCCCATTACAAGAGACGAAGCAGCAAAGTTTCACACCCTTACTCTGTTACCCTACAAATAAATTCATGGTAATCTAAATCTCCTTCAGATAAATAATTCAAGGAAACCTTCATATGTGACATAGGCACCATATTTTCCCCCCCTCCACAGTGGTCATCCTCTTGGACAACCAAACCGGTTTTATTTTGGCTTAACAATGGTATAATTTCAGTGAGATATGAATTGGACATTACCACAAAGACATACCCAATCTAAATATTTCTAGATCATTCCTTTACCTCAGAGGCCTCTTATTTATAATTCCATCAAAACCATTAAAATTACCAAAGGTTTATTAAACATGTTTTAATGAGTCAGAGATGTTAAAGCAAGGAACCATTTAAATATCAGATGAAGTAAAAAAAAAAATCCCCACATATAAAGACATTGTAGTATAGAGGGATGGAATTAAGATGGCATTCATATTGTACACGTTTCTGAGATAGGCATCATGTTCTCTTTTGAATCTTCACATTTCTGAGGTAGACATCATATTCTCTTCCTTTGGATCTTCCCAGGTATCGGGAAGGGTAAACTGCCTGTCAGCTTCTGAGGGGTACATCTTTATCGGACATTCCACTGGGATTTCTGTCTTCAGCTCAACCACCTGTGAGAACTTGTGTACTTGGGAGGTCACCAAACTTGAAATTTGCACTATTCAGCTAGCAGTTTTTGGTGGTACTTCCAATCTCCTTGGAACAGTGGATGAGATGGGTAGGTAGCTATGCATTTATATTTTTTAAGGAATGAGTGATTAATTTGCAGATTGGTTTCACAATTTATTATGAGGGTCTTTGGCAAAGTCTTGCAAGATGATTTTCAAGTTTTTACTAGCTGTGGAGAATAAATTGTTTTCTTCAAACAGAAGAAAATTTACATGATTTTCATTTATGGTAGTATTCTCAACCAATCAAAGTATGGTTACTGAATAAAGGCACTATTTGAAGGAAAAATTGCCCTCCCCTGGAATCATTCTTGTTTTGTTTTCCAGGTTTTGCACGTCTTTTTCTCTTTGTCAGGGAAAACCTCTTGCATATAAGATCCATAAATGAAGTGGTGAGTTTGTCTCATACTAGTGCTTATCTTTATCTACCTGTCAATTTTCAGTTGTCTAAATTGCAGATTTTTGAACATCCCAGTTTATTAATGTCCATTGTGGCATACCCATATTGCAGTAATCTTCAAAAGTTGCATTTTTAATTGAATTTCTACTGTTAGAGTTTAAAATCTAAGCAGAATCAGAAATAGTTAAGACTTAAAGGACTGTAGACTAAATTTAGAAGGAAAAACAATATAGGAGAAGGGTGGGTCAAACCACTTGCACACTGCAGCCAAGAATACTGCATGGACAATTCAACTTGAAGATTTCCCTTTTTTCTTCATTAATTGGGAGGATGCTTTGCATACATGTCTTCTGAGTGCACTTTTATGACACATCTGGTTAATCACTATGGGAAAGAAGGACAGGTCAGTTTACAACAGTTCATTTCGTAACTGTTCAAAGTTACAACATCCCTGAAAAAAGTGACTTACTGTGATGACCCAGGGTGGGATACAAAATAAACACAGTCACAAAAAACAGGTGCAGCCCCTTTTATTCCTTTACTTTGCTTCCAAGCTGCAAATATCCTTGACTGGAGAGAAAAAACTCCCACACGAGCAGTTACAAGAAGGAGGAAATGCCGTTTAAACTAAAAATGCCTATAAATTTAAAGAGTAAAAATGTTTAGTTTAGTTTACTTTATTGTCATTGCACCTCGTACAACGAAATCAAACACCATCTTCAGTGCACATCATGACCATGACCATGAAAATAAACACAAACACACATCCTTCACACATTGAACCGGAAACCCCTGATACCAAACCAACACTGCACTATACAGCAGAATTCAAAAGAGCTACTGCCCTTTTGCCCTACTGCCCTAGAAGCGGTTTTTCAGCCTATTTGTCCTTGTTTTTATTATTCTGTACCATCTGCCAGATGGTAATAGTTCAAAAAAAGGATGCCCAGGATGAGATGAATCTTTGAGGATGTTTTGAACTTTCTTAAGGCAGCGGGAGCTATACAGCTCTTCCAAAGAGGGGAGAGGGAAACCCCTGATCTTCTGGGCAATGATGTTAACCCTCTGGAGTGCTGTCCTATCTGCCACTGTGCAATTGGCAAACCATACAGAGGTGCACTAAGTTAAGATACTCTCTATGGTGCAGCGGTAGAAGGTCACCAGCAGTTTTTCATTTAGTTGTTGTTTTCTGAGAAGCCTCAGGTAGTATAATCTCTGCTGGCCCTTTTGACCAGGGCTGCAATGTGGGCACCCCAGGTCAGGTCCTCTTTTAGGGTAACAGCCAGAAACTTAAAACTGGCCACTTGTTCCACTCGGTCTCCATTGATAAGCAAGGCCCATAAAAATGCCTATAAATTTAAAGAGTATACTCTATAAAGAGTAAAAAACAACACAAACCAGGCAAGATAAGGGCTTGAAGATATCAACAGGTATCATCACACACTGGGAAGGATGCCAAACTCAAGAGAGAAACAATAAACTAGAGATATTTCCACACTTTGTTTCCAGCACTCGCCTGTTCACATGCCCGTCCTCTTATCCAGTTGTCACAGCTGTAGCCCATGAAGAGGATCAAGGCCCTCTCCTTCCCAGTAGACTATATCTCTCCCTTATCCTCTCCTCCCTGCATGTCCTAGGATGGAGGGGGATGGGCCTGGGTCCTCTGACTGCCCAGCCGGCCTTTACCCTTCCCCAGCCTCCTCCACAACCTCCCTGTCGGCTGTTCCTCTTCTCCTCAGAGTCAGTCTCCACCAGAGGCATGACACTTACGATCATTTTTCACACTTATGGCCACTGCAGCATCCCCATGGCCACGTGATCAGAATTTGGACGCTTGGCAACCGGCTCCTATTTATGATGGTTGCCGTGTCTAGGGGTCACATGATCCCCTTTTGCGACCTTCTGACAAGCAAAGTCAATGGAGAAGCCAGATTTGCTCAACAACTGCAGTGATTCACTTAACAATGGTGGCAAGAAAGGTTGTAAAATGGGGGCACGATTAACAATTTTCTCACAGCAACAGAAATGTTAGGCTCAATTGTGATCAATAAGTTGAGGGTTACCTGTACCGGGCTGAATTTTTTTTTTTTTGCCCTCAGACCTTCTCCAATAAAGACTTTTTGCTGTAGAGCTGCGCAGCTCCCTGAGAAGTCTGACAGAATTTTCAGGGAGCTTTGCAGCAGCAAAAATATCTAGTATTGGACTCCTTGCTATCCTGGTTGGACAGGCCTAGCCTGATCTCATATTTCATATTCTCCTGTTTGTCAGGAAGATATCAGCAAGCGGAACATCTGCATGGCACTTGAGCTTTCGCCGGAGAGCGACTATGCAGGATTCCTGTTACAAGGCAAGTCTTAGCCTTTCTTAACCATCTGATGGGCTTAAGATCCAGATCCACAATTGGGTGGTGTTGATATAAAATAAGTCTTTAAAAGTAGCCCTTCCTACTGACATACTTAATACGTCCTGCTGATGATGAAATTTGTTTGAGTCCTTACCCTGGAGGCCCACCATTATTTTTATCTATCTATCTATCTATCTATCTATCTATCTATCTATC